CCGGTCTCGGCGCCGGCCCCAGCCCCTCCAGCATCTCCCTCGGCTCCTTGCAGGCTTCAGGCGAGAGGCAGCACCCTGAGGCGCTGCCAGGGGGGCCCATGGGCCCTGCCTGCTCTGGGGGCTTCCAGGTTGGTCCCCCCATGGCTCAGCCCATGTACCACGGCTTTGACGACCGGCAGCAGATCCGATACTCGCCACCGCTGCCAGGCGAGCGCCCGCTGGGACAAACCTACCACCACTACTCTCCGGTGAGTGTCTTGCCACTGCATCATCAATTCCTTCCTCTCTGCAGTTTCGGGAGGTGTTTGGGCAACCAGTGCCTGCCCTGCTGGGCTGTCCCCTGCGAACAGGACTGGGGCTCCTTGCAGAGTGAGCAGCACCTCCAAGTTTGGGCAGGGAGTGAGTCACTGATCAGGGAAGTGAGCGTGCATGTCCTGTTGGCATGCAAATGCTCAGCCCTCTTTCCCCCTTCCTCCTCCTCTTCCTCCTCCTCTCATGTCCCAGCAGTTATATACACAAAGAGCAGGCCTGTGATTTGCACGGGTGGTAATTTGATGTTTCTGTTTCTCTGTGCCCTGTTCCAGTCACACTACATCTGGTACCCGCCCTGCGAGATGTCTCGGAGCCAGAACGCCTAGGCAGTGGCTGGGGTGAAACCGGTTCCCTAGGACTTGGGTAAGGTGCTGCATGGAAACGGATGGGAGAGGGGGGCTTCCCACTTGTGTAAAGGCTCAAAGAGGGCGCAGGGTTTTTCTGACAGGGTTTCTTTCCCTTCAAACCCTGTCCAGGAGAGACGGGCAGTGTTTCTGCTGTGTGTAGTGCCCAGCCTTGCTGTGATGGTCTGTGCTGTTCCCCTTCCCCATCCTGTCCCCTGGCAGTGGGAAAATGGCCCTGTCTCACAATTGCAAGTTAGCCAAGCCTGTGCCCTGAGAGGCCAGCAAGGATTCTGCCTCCACACGTAGTAATCCAGGAGACATTTGGAGACAGAAACGAGCCCGAGCCTGAGCAGCCGGTGGGTTTACAGCATGTCTGTGTTAGTGCCAGGGCCCAACGATGGTAATGACTGGCTGGGCCCAGAGCTGGCACATGGCCAGCCCGAGGACGGCGTCCTGCCCTCAGCTTCCCACTGCCGATTGTCACGCAGCTCTGAGCAGCTTGAAAGCAGTGGGTCCAGTCCTGTATTCACACAGTGTCTTTTGTGTCCCAGGACAGGCAGGTCCCGGATTGCCGAAACGCCCAGAGCCGTCTTAGCTGTGTTGTGATACAGGCTAAAGGCAGAAGTAGGATGTGTGTGTGTGCCTGTGTATATATATCTAGGACCTTCCTCCGGCTATTTACCCCTGTGCGTATATACACATGGTGTGTATGGCTCGTGCTCGTGGCCTGAAGCTGCTCCGGCAGGAGTTCCGGAGAGGAATGTGCACGGAAGTGAAGGAGGGACTGGAGATGCTGTTGAGACTCCTTGAGAGCGCGCAGACAGCCCCGCGGGACCGTCTCCTTCCTGGAAACGTTTTGGGCTTGAATTTGATGCCCAACTTTTGTAGCTGAATGCGGAAGACAAGGTTTTCGGGGAAGGGGAGCAGGCGTTTGCCAGGAGCTTCCCAGGAGATCCATCGTGGGACGCAATGTTGTTCTTCCCCTTGATGAACGTTTCTGCAGGCTCATGACACAGACCTCTCCCGGTCGACGGATGATCCCAAGGATGCAGGTTCCCTACCCTGCATGGGCACAGACTGGGCTGAGGGTGCTTGATGTCTTCGTATTTATTTAAGGATTGAAGCTGAGTCTTTGTTTTTGCCTAAGAGTGTGCTTTCCTGGAAAAGTGTCTGTAGGACCTATTGTGGGAGTTGGATCTGACTGTGCTTCAGATTTGTTCAGAGGTAGATGTGCCCATAGCAAATGCAGAGGGATCCAAATCGCTACGTGAGCGCTCAGTATTTATTTACCCAAGTGAGTGGTATCCACCTGCAGCAGGGACAGGCACCATGCGCCACCTTTACAAAATGTAGCCACGAGCCTGACCTTCAGTGTGTTAGCAGGAAGGCAGGTGTGATCACGTCAAAACAAGGGGCTGTGGGTTTAGCCCCTTGTCCTCCACATCCCCCAGACTCCTTTCCTGCTGCCTGAGTTTTCCAAGGAGTTCCTAACACAGACCCCTGTGCCACTTGCTCTCTCTCCCATCCCTGATTTCCTGCTGCTCTTGGATTGTGTCCAGTTTCTGAAATGCAGAAGGTGAATCTCCAGCTCAAAACAAGTCTGGAGAAAAAGACCGTCACGTGGAAGACAGCGGGGAGGCCTGGAGCTGAGACGTGCTCGTCTGCAAGAGCCTGGTCCCTGGCTTCTACTAACACCAAGGGCCACGGCAGCAAGCGAGGGTCCTGCTCTGCACCGAGGGAAACACGCAGTGGGGCTGTCCCCCCGCCTGCTTGGCCTCTCTGCTCTTGTTTGGGCTCTGGACAGAAACCTGTTTGCCTCCCCCTTTGTTTTGCAATGACCTCAATGTGGCAAATGCACGGAAATAGGATTCATTGTATTCAGCCCAGGACACGCCTGGGTTTTGTGTACAGATTAGGGGAACGTTTGGCTTGGTTTGGTTGGTTTCTCTTTGACAAATTATTGGGAACTGTAATGATAAATATGTGTTTGCAGTAATCCTTAATAAACAGGCTCGAGATTTTCCATCTGGACCCCGGTCAGCTCATGTGTTGTGTAATCCCCAGCCCTAGGTGTGCAGGGGCTGCCAGGCTCGTCTCGTTTGACCCCGTGCGCTGGACCTGCCCCTCGACACTGCCCTGCAGCACCACGTGCAGCATGGAGGGAGGCCCACGGCCCCGTGCTGCAACCTCATGAGCAGGTCCCTCATGAGTGTTTAACTTGTTTCCAAAGGCCAGGGCGCCCAGGAGGGCTCTTCAGTGGCCTACTGACCTGGGGCCGTGCAGAAGTAATGACGCTGCTGAGCCAGGTTGGGCTGTGGCACCTGGCCCCCGTGGTGGGATGTGACCCAGAGCGGGAGCAGCCGCTTCCTTGCGCATCTCCCTGGTGCCCTGGGCCCCTGTGCCCTCCCTTCCCTTACGGGGACACAGGGCTGCGTGTTTGCAGAGCCTTTATTTGGTGCTTCTACAGGGGCAGGTTGGTGCCCGGGGGCTGCCAGGGGGTGGCTGCCCCAGGGGAGGAAAGGAGCCCGT